GGCGGAGGCGCCATCTTCATTCGCAGTTTTATTGAAATGGCAAGGAAAAGGAAAAAAGAACTATGTATTGTGTGTACCGTGTAAATTCGAATTATTATCGTTGAATGCAAAACGAGAATCACGTCTTCGCTTGCGCGTGTGTGTGTGTGTGAAGCTGGATATTTGCTAAATTATTTGAGCCGGACCGGGTTTTTATCTCTTTTTCTTTTTTTTTGTACAGCGACGCGTTGTTTGCATTGTAATGTACCGATTCATACATGATGACCGGCAGAAGGCTTACGAAAAATACAATTTTTTTTATTTCACAATAATACTATCGTACACATTATAATAAATATTTATATGTGTGTGTGTGCATATAGGTACTGTTACGGCGAGTGGATTTTGAAAAGCTGACAGGTCGACTATCAAACCGATTGTTGTGCGCGCGCTTACTTCTCACGCGCGTGTAACTGCTCCGCGCCGGTCATTTAAAAAGTCGAGTGTCAACAGTTCCCGTTGGAACGCGCACAACAACTACAGGGACTTGGGAATCCAAAGACCCTTTTCGGTCATTAGCAGTGTATCAAACAACAAAATGTATAATAGTCCCCGGCGGACGAATCAATTTCAGCCCGTTCTTCTAAAACGTGGTAGGGGTAACCTTTAACCGATAAAGGTTACGGATGGGGGACCGCTTGCGAATTATCTGCAGAGTGCAAAGGGTGATCATCATTAATCATTGTGTCGGGGGAATAACAACAGCGCGGTGTACGACGAATGTTTATGAGGGTGTAATACTGTCGAATTATAGTCCGAAACGGAAACGTACAATGGGCATCCATAAAGATCGAACAGTAATAATATCGTGTTATTTGTGCTCATTGATCAACGTGCTACTTGTTGTGGGTCGTGGTAATAATCATCAACGGAAGATAATTTAAAATCGCAACATTTACAAGAAAAACGATTTATGCTTAGGTATATTTTTTCGATGATGGATATCGTACGTCGTACATATTTGTAGAATATGGTACATAATTGGTACCATGTGATAGCAGTATTTGTGTTCGCAATAAAAAAATTAATGAAAATTGGAAAACAATTATTAAACGAAATATGTGATATCTTTCCGAACTAGGTTCTGTTAAAACTTTTTTTCAGTGTACCCGAGAAAAAAAACCTTGTTCATCGCGAAATTTTGCTCACCGTAGAAAATACCGCTGTTATTGATTAAATTTAAAAGTCGGAGAAAACGTTGCGCTGCAGGTATACACAATAGTCGAACACACGAGATGGTTCATGGTATTGCACTATCATATCCTTAGGATGTTTTTAAATTTCTTTCACTGTATCCGTTAATTAAAAGGTTAGCAATTTATGAGATTTTATTATTAATCTTTCCGATATGATTGTGCCGTGAGATAATCATCCGCTATGAAAAGTAACACGACCTGTAATTATTATTGTTATCGTTAGAAACCAGTCTTTTGGACATGTCACTTTATTATACCTTATTGTTCACCGTTGAATAAAATTATGATTAGCATTATACTACATTATGGTATTATTTTGTTAGCTCGTTATAGGGAACTCGGCAACCGATTCGGTTAGTCTGCTTACTACGGTACAACACACTTTAGGGATCCGCAAAAATTGTAAACCTAACCTCGGTAAGTCCTTTAGATTATTGAAACGGTTGCGTGAATTTGCTACTTTTGAATATATTTCGTATCGGACCGATTGCCGCAACGTAGGTGACGGTGACCCATTGCTGTTGTATCGGACGGACGGTCATCGGTCTCATTAACCGAATTTAGATCGATCCCGACCACGCGTCACCCGATACTTTTAGGCTATACCGGAGCGTATAACGTAAGAGACAATATTAATTGATTACATTGGTACGATAAACATGTTTGTGGTGCAAGTGGAAACGTGGAATGTCGACCGAATATAACGGAAGATTATTAAGTGCTTTGGAAAAGAAGAGAACTGGTTTCGAGCGCAGGATACTTAACAAACACGTCTCACCTTGGCCGCTATATTTATACAATATTATTTACTATTTCTCTACTACACGCTCGCACTTCTTGCACATTTGACCAAAGGTGTTGACGCCGTTCGTGTTCAACCTTAGGCTGTTGACTTTATTACGTATATTCCACAGCGCTGGCATAATATGTTGTTGCGTTCACAAATTGCCGCGTGAATAATACACTTAAAATGCGAAGTGATTAAATATTATCGTTTTTATACGTATATACGTTCGGTTGACTTCAGGTGCACCTCCGTATATTGTTACATTGTGAATTTCCGTATCGGTCGAAACAGTTTCGCGAAACATTTATTGAACTTCAACGGTCGTGTAAACGTTTGCTAGAGACTTGACGTATTTGAAAGTTTAACAATCACTCGAACATTGAAAGCCACAGCCCTTAATATTTTAATGAACCTTTAAATTGATCAAATTTACGTGTGGACCATCGCGTTAACGATGTATTTTTTTTGTTGATTTTTTACGAGGCATTCGTCATCGATGTCAAGGTACATGGAAATAATTACTGGGGTGATACAATCGTTTGGAGAAACGTATATTTATTTTAAACTACTATAATTATTAAGTTCATCGATAAGAAAAATAATACATACAGAAAAAATGAAAAATCATGGTACCGCGGTACGTGCTTTGTTTATAAGATGGTATCTTATTTAAAAATTCGGAATAATATGCGAATATAGGTTACGTGGGCTACAACTGATTGATCATTAGTTTTACGAATCAAATACATTTGAATAATGATTTAAAAAGTAAAAGTAGATAATAATTATATATTTTTATTGTTTATTGACATAATTATTTTTATTTATCCACAATTATAAAATACATGCATTTTTCCAAAAAACCTTGTATAATTATTATTCATTGTATTAACGTGTTTTTAATGATAATTAATTTAAAATAACAATATTAAACATAAATATATATATATACATAATTGTTGCCTGATTAGGACAATTTTAGCGTAAGATTTCATGTGATTACAACATTTAAAATGAACCTACATATTTAAAATGTATTCACTGACCTATAATCGTATGTAAGACAATTATGATATATTATAAATCTACTATTTTAATAGTAATTCAAATTATTTTAGAAAATAAATATTAATGGCGCTGTTTAACTATTAACCAGTATATTATATGAGTTATTAGTATCAGTTACGGGAAATATTTTTGATTTCTATGATATTGTAGTACATTTAATAACTGTAAATAACCTGTCCATAGATTTATTAGTAAAATAAAATTATGGTCTTGTGTTTTAAAGTCACTATACATATAATTTTGTTAATCGACAAAATATATTCTCATTAAACCAAGTAACACAATAAGAATATTTCTATAATATCGTAGTTATATTTTTATTGTATCATTTGATTTAGTGAGAACATTTGTCATCGGTAAACAAAATGATATATTTTTCAACTTTTAAACACAAGCCCACAATATAATTTTACTGATAAATCTACGAATAGGTTATCTGCAAATTTTTAATTTACTAAATTAATCAATTGGTTTTAAAGTTGCAGATTTATATTTACATTCAACGTATACATTTTTTTTCACAAAATGATAAAAAAAATATTTATATTTAAATAACAGCAATTAACAATAATTGTCATTTGTAAAATTGAAAAATTCAAGTTTGTACCAAGTACTTATATTTTACAACATTAATGCAATGTAGTCAGACGAACAGTAAACACATTTTCAGTGGCTTATTTTATTATATTTGTCTTTCGACCATACATTTGTAAAATTACAGATTTGAAACAACGAATTTTCTGGGCGAAATTCCCTCTGGAATTTTGTATAATATATTAGTATTTCAAGATGTAACTCGTGATTTTTCTTTGAATATAAACTTATATTTATTAAGATTGTTTTTTAGAATTAAATCCGCCAAACGTTATATTGTTCAAAATTCTAACGATATGTTAAACACATAATATTTACGTCTATATTATATATGTGATTCGTCATGCATATTATAAAATTAATTTTAAATTAAAATTGTAACGTTTCAAATTTACCGACATTCTTTTTAAAGGCGATCAGTTATATAAATGAGTTAAACACTCTAAAGGTTCACTATATAAATTGTTAATTAAATTATAATATTAAAAAAAAAAAATATCAAATATATGATCAAATAGGTACAATAAATTCAACATAGTGTTGCGCTGTAAAAGTGTTAACGCTTGGTAATTTAATCTCGGGCTTTAACTAATTTGTTATGGTCTCAAGACAACAATATGTTCAATGAAATACTATTGTCGTCATTAAAACCAATTAGATTAAAACCTATTAAAAATGGTTGCAAATCTACATTCCACGGAAATATTATGCGATTAAGTTTTTTTCAATTAATCGATAACGTTAAAAGTATACGAAATTTATTTAAAGATATTGCGTAACATTATATCCAAAGAAAAATAAATATTATGAAAAAGGTCTTAAACAATTTTCTTTTTTCGGAATTTTCAAAGAGGACACGAAATAATGTAAAAGTGTTGTCGTTAAAAACCTCCAAACCGTGTCATATATAACACATTGGAATGATATTGAATTTTATAACACGCTTTCGGAAGTATAAAATTTTAATTACTTTTCGCCGAGTTGCATACGAATGAGTTGGAATGGAATCGGGCGGTTTACATTTGAAATACGTGAACGTTAAGCGTACGAAAAACGTACTCGTCTGTGCCGACGGTCCAACAGCGCGAAACAGGTGTGTTCGGGGAGAAAAGGGCGAAATAAAAGACAAAACAGGTTAGTCCCTAAGTCACCCGGAACAAGATCGGAAAAACAACTCATCCCGTCAAACGGAGGGTGGAAAAAAAAACGGAAAACGGAATAAAAAAAAAATAAATAAATAAATAAAAATAAAAATAAATAAATAAATGAATAAAAAATAATATTAAGCATAAAAGTAGAAAAATCCTTTTACTGACCTTGCGTAAGACTCGAGACGGACGTTCCGATGTGGTCGGCCGCGGTGCGCGTGGGGCTTCGCGAGGAAGATTAAGACGTCGGCCTCTGCGGTCGTCAACGCGGCATCCCAGACGAAAGTGAACCGAATGAGTAGCGGCGGCGGCGACGTGAGTCGCGATTTATATCGATATGTTATTTTACGTACCGTACGCTCTGCCGGGCGGTGTGTTTGCGGGCAAACGAGAGATCGTCGTGAGACGAAAAAAAAAAAAAAATCGAAAAGATTCCGAAAAAATTATACTGTTTTTACCGTGTGATGACGACGCGCGCGCGCGACGCAACAATATACTAATATTTTCCGCTACGCGTATGTACGTTACGTTACACGTACCGGCGCGCGCGTGTGTGTGGTGTTCGCGAAGTGATCGGCCCAACAGCAAGCGGCGGCGTTACGGGACAACGAACCGTCGACCACTGATGATGACGATGGGCACCGCCGCCGGAGCTGCGCGTTCTTCGCGCGCCGCCGCGGCCGCTCTTCACACTTCCCCTACCCCCGACCGGACGGATGGACGCGCGCGCACGCACCACCTCGGCCGTGTTGCCCGCGCGCCCGGTGTAGGGGGGGGGGCAAACGTCGCGAACGCACTTTCCGCAGCCGCAGCCGTCGCCGGTGTTCCCCGTCAAGTTCAAGATCGGCCGCGGCGGGCGGGCGGAGTCCGGGGCACGGGCCGACGACGTGGCGGCGGCGGCGGCGTGTCGTCCCCGGGGGCCGCCGTCGGTGAACGGGAGCGGAACCAACGGCGCGTCGCCGCCGGACGGGGCTTGCGCGATGCGAACCGTTTTTTCTTTTTCACTCCCTCCCCCGCGCGCCCGTCTGCCGCGGCCGGTGGCCACGCAACGTCCACCGCGTCTACCTGCTACCGTATTGTCGTACATACGTGACGTTACGCGAGTGCGCGACGTGATGTCGTATACGCGTGTGCACGCGCCGCCGCCGCCTCCGGAGATCTGCTGCACCGCGGGGGCGCGTATTGATTCCCGTGCACGGGGTGCATTTCCTCCTTGTGCGCGCCTCCACGCGCCCGATAGTAATAACCACAATTTACCGTGTTTAATAGTTTTTCATTTTCACGGTACTACCTACTCGTAAATGCAAAAACCAACGATCGTACCAATAGATACGTTCTGATCGCTTTGATCCGGTGCGATAGAACAAACAAATAAACACTTTTGTGCGTACGTTTTACTATTACTTGCGAATACCGATAAAAACATATTGGTCTCTAGGAACTGTAAACAAACCGGGGTATGTATAATACGAAAAAAACATGGAATCGTGTTATTCAATCAGTTGGATTAATTATTTTTTAGGCGTTGGATTCGACGAAATTAACTGACGATAATACGCAAATTAACCGATTCATGATTTGAGCATTTTTCGTCAATACTATAACTGTAATAATATTATAAAAACACACGCGTGCTTTTTGCAGTCATTATGTGATACAGTTAATAATCGAGACAGTATTTTATCTGCAAAAATAATCAATAGTTAAGATTACGCATTTATCGATAACTACGATTGAATAAACGTTTGAATGACAGCACCCGTTGCGATGGCGATGCGTGTACTAAAAAACAATTTTTATTGTAAATCCGATCCAAAAATTAAGTAAAATATTAATTAGTTAAATGAAACAGCCAAGTTACCTGGGTGATGTTCACCGACGATATCTATGAATCGGTTAAATATTTATTATATATTAATATATAAAGTTAATAGTATTAAGGTGATCGAATAAGGGTGGTTTATAGTTGAGTTAAAAGGTTAGAAATAAATAATTATATTTTCAACTTAACCTTAACCTTCACCTAACCTTTTGTGACTATTACCATAAATTTGATAATATTATGAAATCAATGAAACCATTAGACATTATTAATGTGTATACAACTTAATATATATCATACACGGATAATATATGTTAATACTTTTGTTCAGCATCTGTTTCATATTATGAAACATCAACGTGTATAAACATTTCTTGTCAAACGGTGTGTAAAGTAAACCCTTTTCGTATTTACACAGTCTCAAATAAATTAACGCGCCGTAACCGATTTGCGTCCATATAAAGCGATCTTCTTTGTATTGTGGGAAATTCTTTATTTATTTTTTTATTATAATTTCCTATTATCATTATTTTTTTTTTTTTTTTACTGTATACCTACCATAAACATATTTTACACTAGCTTATCATATGTAGTATAATATCCGCGGTTTCATGATTGTTACAACGTACAAGAATAATAAGTGATTTCTTTTTTATCCATTTAACGTGTAATTGTTCATATTACTGAGATTCTATCATCGTAAAATAACGTGTAATACTTGTTAACGTACATTTCGGTCGTCTCATCTTGTACTTATTATCCTTATTATATAATGTTATTATTAATAATTTAGTGAAGATTTAAAATGTATTTTTACTCAGATTTTGGAAATACAGTCAACAATCCAAACATTAATTATTTGCAAAAACTGAAATCATAAATTCATCTGTTTCGTGTTAGCTTATAAACGTATAACTGCAGTCTATTGTCATTCATTTGTTCGTGTAAATTTGTTTTTGTGGTTGACACGCGACAACCGCAGTCGTTCTCACTAAACAGCATTTTCTTGAACTATAAAAATCTATACACTCAGTGGAATACGTGTCTTTGTCGGACGCAACGAAATAAAATATAATGTCTTGGAAAATTTAATTATCGTGTTTTTACCACGCGTAGTTGAATTTTATTTATTGTTGACGTTCTGTACTGTCTCTGGTAACAAATCAATACAAACCAGTCGTGTTAAATTACTTTTACATTACTTGCAGAAATTAAACTTGTGTACACGCTTTAACGGTTTTCTAACTAGATTAATGGATTTGTGTAATCAAACGTTAACATTTTAGAATACAAGCGAAACCAAATATATATATTATGATTACTATTTTGATTGTATTGTTACGTATTTTTATTTTCAAGCTCGTGCACTTATACGTCGGTCAACATCTATCGTAATTTTCTCATGAGATTTTCAGTTACAGACCCAGCTATCATCTTTATGTCCGTACAACACGATGACGGAATAAACGTTGGTCCACGATGAACGACTTCATGGACATCACGGTACATCGGGTAACAATACAATTTGAACCATAGTTTATTTAACCCCTTTTTAGGTATGACCAGTATTCCCCCTTTGGCGAATTATTTTACAATTGCTTATTAATTGTCCTATTAAATTTTTTAAAAAAATATCTTCAAATAAAAATTTTAATGAAATATTATATTTTGGATTTTACACGTGACACCTTAATTTACGTTTAAGAGCTCTAATAATTATAGACTTTAGTGAACCGTGTCGTAAAAATGTTTGTCACCACGTAGTTGTTGTAACGTTGAACCCTAGATGTCTGTTCGCCTTGATCGTTATATTTTAATACTGCAAAAACGGTCAACCGCGGTATTACGACGGTTTCGTGTGATTTTCGTTTAAATGTTCACCGTGTCAGCGGTAGAGTTGAGCCGGCCGTAGTGTCGTCTATGCGTAGAAAGGCATACAAATTTACCTATTCATATCGTTTGACGATTACGTGTAGTGTTGAAGTACTCGGTGAACGACGATACAGTATAAAGCAGAGGAACACAATAATTTCATAAAATTCGTTTCTTCTGTCCATATCTGTGCGTTCCCGTGCGCCGTCTACAGGATCAATAGTTCGGAATCAATAGTCGAGACGTTGAAAATACTTTCCGCGTAATATCACGGTGGTGTTCCGCGCATACCGCGTTTCTTGCCAGTCAGGAAATCATCGGAAACGTCCTGGAGACATTTCGCCGCGTGCATATTATAAATACGCGTACTTATCTGGGATTCACGTTCGTGCACGAGATCAAAGACTTCGCTAAGAGAAAAAGAGAGAAAACAATTTTAAATAGTCCATGCTGCTGTTGTTATTATTACTCAAATGCATATTGTAAATCGTTTTTTCCGTCGTAGCGCGCGCGTTTCGACGAATCAACCGCAAATCGGACAAACCGACTTTGCGCGCGACGTCTCGTAAATTACTATATTTTATTCCTCATCGCTTCTTCGTCCATTACGGCCGCATTTAATATCACGATGACTTTGCCACGTCACTCGTTTTGTTTTTCTCCCGACGGAATTACTCGTGTTTTTTTTTTTTTTTTTTAATCGCAATCAATTAATCCGATCTCTGTACGCGTATTATTTACGCGAGGTTCGCGTTGCAATGTTAATTGATGTGCGATTAACAACGCGTTAGTGACACGAATTCTAGTACGTAAACACACGGTGCACACCGATATTAATATAATAATTGTTACGATACGACTCCACGTGTAATAATACATTACCAGCGACGAGCACTGCGTAGGCGGATTTGTCGATTTTTTTTTTTTTTCAAGCGAAAAGATCTTGCACAGTAACGGTAAGGTGTGCGATGACGTTTTATCCCGTGTGCCGTCCGTGGCCTTAGGCTAACAATTTTTCGTACTGCACGTTATCGTTTAGAGATAAACGTTTCGTTTGAAATCGTTTTCACACTGCGCTCCGATACACAGCGAGTGTGTGAACTGTACACTGCTTATACACTGCGCCACCGTGGCCGGCGAAACGTGGCCGTTTCGCCTTCGGAACAATCCAATCCAATGATATTTTTAAATCTTAAGTTACTATCGGCAAAATTCCTTAAAAACTGAAATCGTAATCTTCGCGTTACGGAGGATGATTATTTCGGCGTAGTATTACTATGGGTTAATAATGTGTTCAATGATTCTCGAGTCTATATGTGTATATAAGTCGCCGCTGAATAAATGTCTGCAGCCCGTGACGTGCTCTGTAGATACAGACGGGCCTATGCATGTTTTGGAAATCGATTTGAACATGTGTCGTAGAAATTATGTGCAGTTTTTTCACCGACAATTCGTACAGACCTATTCTGCGGTACACGTTTATGGAATAGTAGCTGATTTTGTGACTCTGACGAGATAACGACAGGGCTGGGCTGTATTATAGATACTAGTATTTAAGATGCTTATCTGAGATACAATTGTATTTTGTATCTTGTTACATTATTTTAATGTATCTGGTATCGTGGATTTAAATACTTTTTTAACTTGTATTTAGTATCTTTTTATGATTAAAGATACTAGATACAATCTATTGTTATGTAATAAAAATTACTAATAATTTAGCTTAAAGTTTTTCACGTCGAAAGCATTTACTTAATAAGTGAACAATATATACAATATTTGCTCACAATAAAGAGGTTAGTTATATGTAAGATTATATGTAATATATTGCATATAATCTTTATTATGAGCAAATTTTGTAATCAGTAAGTTACATAAATGTTTTCAGTACAGAATGTTTTCTTAATTTTATCGCGCTAAACATTTATTTTAGACTGTGTGTTTGTGCGATGA